GGGGGGGGGGGGGGGTGTTCGTTGCTTGAAGCGGATCAATGAAACACAGAGCCATCAAAGCAAAGCTTATTACGCACGTCGATCAAGCTGAACGACCAGACCTCATGCAAAATCTGCGGAGCTAGATGTGCGGCACGCACAATGCGTTGTTTTCGTTTGGAGAGAGGCGAGTACNCAAAAACTGCGGAGCTAGATGTGCGGCACGCACAATGCATTGTTTTCGATTGGAGAGAGGCGAGTATAAAGCAGTAAGGAATTGTTGGCCAAACTTTCGGCAGATAGGTCTACTCGGGAGCGTAAGTGGGGTAGCAACCCATGGTGGAGCGTACATGAGAAGCTGGACGTTGGTGTACGCCCCATCCCGGCGTGTGAGTAGGATCTTAGGCTGTGCAAGTCGTCCCTGAACTTTTTGTGGTGAAAATCACCTCCCACGAGGAAAGTAGCCTGTACCGCGGGGCTTCGGAGATATTAAATTGGGTGGTAGGGGGACGTCTGGGTGTTTACTAAGCAGAGCGCCCGGCACAAGACTGGGGTACTTGTGCCAGGAGGTGTGAACTTGGATCTAGACTACGAGCCTATGTTGGAGGCGCTATTTAGCGTCGGTGAGCCGGCAAAAGAACTGAAAGGAACCACAACCCCCGCCGGACACTCGGATTGGGAAGGCCGAGTATTCCGTATACCTTCCTGAAAAAACACGAAAAACAAGTGGCCACGGTCCAGTTGCCGTAGAGATCATGAGGATGGTGAAGAAGCCGGGAGGATGGAAGCAGAAACTGTGGAAGGCAGACAGGGAGCTGCTGTTGATGTTTGGGATTCCAAGGGACATGACGAGGATAGAGTTCAAGAACTGTTGTGACAGGGAGGGACTGCACTGCCTAGCAAGGGGACAAGTAGGCAGAGAACATGAACACTTCCGGGTGAAATTGACCAAGGGAGACAGCCAAGAGTGCTTGGGGGTTGATATCGAGAAGCTGTCGAACTACGTAAGGAAGTTTGGATGGAGGTTTTGCATCTCGAACATGATAGAAACAGAGGAGGTAATGAGACAAGAGGCGAGGGCGGCGGAGGCGAAGAAAGGACCGAGCAGGGCAGTCGAACAAGCAAGTCAGAAGAAGTCCGAGAAGAAGCGGAAGGCGAACGATGGTGTGCGCAAAATCTCCAATAGGGAAAAGCGCAAGCTGAGAGTCGGGTCGTGGAACGTGTGCGGGTTCGCAAGGAGTGAGCGCAAGCGGTTGGAAATAGTGGACCAAGTAGAACAAAGCGATCTAGATGTACTGGGGATCCAAGAGACGTGGAAATTGAAGGATGGTGACGTGGTAAGCAATCTAGGGCAATACCGGTGGGGCAAGAATGGGCTTCGACCCGAACAGGGGGGAGAGGGGAGTCGGGTTCCTGGTCAAGGAACACTTGTTTGACGTGGTGGAAGTAGTGGTGAAAACGGAGTTCGAGGAAAGCCT